AGAGTCCCTACAGTTAGGCACATACAAAGATAAGACTGGCTTGAGTCAATCACAAAGGGAACACAAATAGCTCGTTTTGAATGTGACTCCAGAAGAACTAGGGGAATTCATAACCAGGGTTAAACTGTGTCTACTGATTGACTGGCTTTCAGTTCAGCAGGGAAATCTGGGGAAAGGGTAGGATACGATAAAAATTATCCTGAAGGATGGGAAGCCTTAGGTTATATATTTATGCTCCCACTCCCATTTGTCATAAGTCAAGGGCTGTCCCTGGTTAACTAAATCCACAGGACTTTGAGCCATCTTTTCTTAGGGCTCAGAGAAAACTCGGAGGTGGAGAGCTACAGATGTGAGCAATAGGATGGGGTCACAGTGGACTAGAACAGCAATGCTTGACCTGTAGGGTGATGAGAGCATCATCCAGAATAGCTCCTAGTACCACCACAAAGAACTTCTTCAAGTTCCATGCACCATGCCGCCTGAGCTCATTGCCTGCCCCCGTCACCCCTCCACATCTGCAGAGGTGAACCTTCTTTCAGTCTAAAGGTATCTTTCTTTCCCTCAGTGTCCCTTTTGGACTGTTGCTAGCCTGTCTCGTTTTAATTAATATGCCACTAACTTAGGGATTCTGTTGACACATCCTGTATAAACATGTTCATGATTAGGTTTGATTTGCAATGATAATTAATAATCAAATAGACAAACAATAGTAATATAAGGAAAACATTTAAAATTTACAAAGTTGTTATTGATGGAATTTTCCATTTACCATTTTTGGATTATGGTTGACTGAAAATACAGCAAGAAAAACTGTGGATCAGGTGTGGTTTACCAACTAAAACTTCATCCTTTTCATCAGAGGGACAAAATAGTAAAGAACAGAGCCTGGTTCTTGAGAACTTAATATCTGAGTGAACCAAATAAGTGAACACAGATGTGGTAGAAATGAAATAGAAGGGTTTATTCTGGTGGGTACAAGAGGGTGGACATTCTAGTGCTAAGTGTCTGGCTGTCTGACATCTTTGCTATACGTGCATGTTGCAGGATATTTGATCACACTGTGGACCCTGAGATTGCATTATTTAAATAAAATCAACCATAGGTCAAGAGGAAGAGCAATCAACCAGTTGACTGAAAGTAACCATAGAAAGTGAGGGAAGTCAGGGGGTCATAGAGAAAGAGAGACACAGGAAGTAGAAGGTAGGGACATACAATTAGTGTTTTGTTTCAGACAGCAGCGTAGGAGGAGGAAGGTTAGCCAGCTGCTTTCTCAGCCTCTCTGAACTAACAGGTTTTCACCCCAGGATCTGGCTCCCAATATTTTATTGGCAAAAAAGAACTGTAGGGACTTAGTTAAAAAGCAACATTTACCTCTCTATGCATCAAGGTGGCAGTGGGTACGAAGGCACAATCGGCAGCTGAGACAGCAATAGGATCAGGTACAGCCACTGTGCTGCCAATAAAACAATATGTATATACAAATGCAACAAGAATTTTGAAGAAAATGACCTCTCATAAATGGCTGGTAGGGATGTCAATCAGGGTAGCCATTATTTACTGGGTTTCAGGAGCAGGTGGATAATTTTTCAAAGCTTACATGATGGACACACTACATTTTCCTGCTCATTCCTTATGTCCTACCATATATTGTTCCTCTTTTGACATCCTTGATTTCTTATGAGCATCTATGCTCTTGTCTGAGTAGGAGGGGTCTATTTAGGCCATAGCTGTTTCTCACTTCAAAGGCATTAGAATACCTTGCCTTCGGATAAAGTCTCTATAAAATACCACTTTTTTTGTGTGTTTTGTTTCACCAAACTGTAAACTTAATAGTATAGATAAGCAGTTAGGCTTGATTTTTATAATAATTTCTTAGCTTAAATCATTAAAATATTACTTACAGATTACTAAATATGGAAATTTTACTTTTACAAGGACCCATAAGATCTTTCCTACAGTATGTATTTCAGGGTGCTATAGATGCTCATGTTTCTAGAAAAAGCCCAGCTTTGCTTATAAAATGTGGTCCAAGCCATGAAACTACCTGCAACCTCTTTGTTTCTAACAATATATGAAACAACCGAGAAAAGAGCTTAAGAAGCAGATAAGCCTCTAATGAAAGTCAACATTAGATTTGAAAGATTAACCTGTACGAAGGTTCAAAAAAGTCCCATGATGAGCGATTGTATATCCCAACTGGAGGGAGGAAAACAAGCGCTTAAGGGTAGATTTTATGTCATTTATGTAACATTGATTATTTGTATTTTAGGCTTCCTTAAATAACTCAGTAAGAGTGGCTAGAGACTTTCTTCCCCACAGAGAAAATGTATTTCTTAGCTGTGGAACAACTTGCTAATCTCTAACATATTGTAAGTGACATTTTATGTGACAGCAAAAATATGTGAAAGTCTTTATTAGATACATTGTATTTTGAAAATTAACTGCAAATAGAACATGCTGATTCCTGAGATGCTGTTTTACTTTTATAGATATGCTAATATCCATTATGATCATATTAAGAAATAAAAATGTAGATAGTCCGAGCTTAGAGATGAGGTTAAGTTTTTGCTTTTATTTATTATGCTCTTTGCACAATGTTATGAGGGGTGTCCTCCAAGATTCTCCCAGTCAAGTCAAGAGCAATACTCACGTGACCACAGTACCAGATAGAATATCATTGGGTATGCTGGTAGGGAGGCTAAGTTGTATGCAGGTTCAGTGTCCCACAGCCTCTCTGTGTGTGACATGACTCGGAATGGCCTTTAGAGAACTATGTTACTAAATACTAAGTGTGAGTAGGACTTTGCCACAGTGACAAAGGTTTGGGGAAGGATAAGATAAACTGTGAAATAAGCTGTGAAACAGGAACTTTGATTAAAACATTTCATATCATATCTCCTAGTTAGAAGAGCTGTTATATATAATACTATGGGGTAAAGAGATTAAAGAAACTGCACTACCATCCAGCCACTATGGAAATCAACACGAAGTTTTGTTAAAACAACAACAATAACAGATGAAAGTAGAACCACCATGTTATCCATCTGCATGAGTCCTGGGTACATACTTGAAGCAATCACTCCTTAATAGGAGAGACACCTGCGTGCATGTCTACAGTCATCACAAACAGTCACAGTACCTAAAGGATATTCTCTTTCTAGGTGTCTGTTGAGGGATGGATATGTAAATAAAATATTATATATAATACACAGTGTGTTATCATTTAGCCACAAAAAAGAATGAAGATTCATCATTTGCAAGAGAATGGATGGACCTGGAGATTTTCCAGTTAAGGAAAATAAGACAGGCTTAGTGAAATAAGTATCACACCTTTGCTCTGATCTGTGGAATATAAAAAAGAACATGACATAATGTAGAAGAGGGACTATTAGAGAATAGGAATATGGTTGGGGGATGGGGAAAGAGGGTAATGACTGGGTAGGTTCATAGTCTGTTATAGGCATCTATGAAAACATCAAAATAAAACATTGGTTTGCACAATTAATACATGTTAAACCAAAGCTTTAAAAAAAAGGGGGATTTGTGGAATCTAAATAGAGTTTTATAGCACAGGGCATATGTAAGCTAGCTAAAGTAGTACACAGGGGAAGAATGGGAGAAACACCTGACTGTCTAGGTTAATCCATACTAACAAGAATAATAACCCACACAGACAAGGCATTAGAATTTGGTGGTAGTGTCTATATTATCATCGAAGATGCCTATCCAAAGTAGTCTCAAGATTGGCCATGTTTCTAGAAGCTACTTTTGGAGCTGTATGAGGTTTTCCCATAGATATTTTGGGATAATGCTCCAAATCTTCAATAACATGGCTTCCAAACTTTCTCAATTGTCTCTCTATCCTTAGTTCCATTTATTCTTCTGGCACATTTGCGCTCCCTTCATCTGGCTATGCGTTGAGGTTCCTCCTGCTTTCCCATGTTCCTATGACCACCTGCATGGATGTAATATCTCTTACAACTTAAATAAATGTCATTCTCTGAGGGAAACTATTCCTGACCACCAAACAGCTTTTTCTTTTATCTTGATAATGGACTTAGTAGTTTGTGGTGTCATTATGCCTATTATTGATAGGGAAATTGAGGCTCAGAGATATTTTCCCCAGTGTAACAGAAGACCAAAAAATGAGGTTACAGAAACTAAGGCTTAGAGAAACATTTGTTTCAGAATAAATAAAAGGCATCTACTGTTTGTTTTTATACAAAGATTTCTAGTTTGAACAATAAATCTCCCCCATAGGCTCAGATATTTGAAGACTTGGTCACAAGTCACTGGTGCTATTTGGAAAGGCTATAGAACTTTGGGGGCGGATTTTGCCGGTTTACAGACTTCTCCCACTTCTTCTTTGCTCTCTCTGTTTCCTGGTGTGATGACAAAATGTGCTTAGCTAGCTTTCTCCTCCTGTTGTCTGTTGCTATGCTGTCCCGGCCATTACGGACTCTAACCCTCTGGAACTATAAGTCAAAATAAGCTTTCTTTCTTAAGCTGCTTCTGGTCATGGTAGTTTATAACAGCAATGGAACGTAACCCTTATTGCTAGTGCAATTTAGGGCAGAGTGGCAACTCATCTCAGCACATTGCTAGCAAGCCTCTAGCTTGAACCTTAGTTGATACCTATGGATTTTGGACTGAGCTGCTTTTTCCCTCATAAATAGGCTATCACAAAGAGAAATTAATATAAAGTACAAAAAATGCTGTGTAAAGTGCAGCCTTGTAAGTATCTAGTATCAATTAACATATAGGAACAACTCAAGTGCCAGAGCATGATGGAAATACCGGAGTGGAGTCACATTGGGATATCAGCGCACTTCCAAGTTGTTAAGAGAACATTTCTTGAAGTCATTCTGAAAACTTGGCCCAGGAAAAGGTATTTAAATCCTGCCGATATGACCTCAATTTATTTCCCAATAAATTACTTGTCTTCTTTGCAATTAGTCACACAGCCTGCCAACCATATGAAGGGAGGATTTATTTTCTGTTTCAGGCAGAGCTGCGGAACAGATGGGCACGCTGCCATCATAGAACCTGGCTGTGCTTGCAGGTAATGTGGGGGAGGGGCAGGGGAGAAGCAGAAGCAATGGTGGTCACCTCAAGAAATTTTCTTACGGCTGCATGAATTCAGGCCTGAGTTTATTTTCCAGCTTGGCTCTGAACTTTAGATTCAGGCTTGTTTGGAAGCTCAGCAACACTTTCTTACTGTTGTGTTGGCTGGAGGCCAGCTAGGCCAAGAGGAAACAGCATGTGAGGCTTAGTCCTAGAAAGCAGTGACCGGGTGACACAGTTTAGCTTCCAAGCAGGAGCTCTGAGGGACAGCCAGATTTAATAACACTGTAAGGGGGGTTGGTCTGAAGTAGGAGAGGAGCCGTCGTTACGGACTCAAAAAGACAGATTTAAGAGACTAAACCTGAGGCTGAGGTGGACACAACTGTGACCGATCCCTTCCGAGGATGCTGCCGTTGCCCAGCATTATGCTTCCGGGACACTTGGCCTCACCTACTGGGTCTTCTTCTTCTTCTTCTTTTTTTTTTTTTGGTTTTGGTTTTTCGAGACAGGGTTTCTCTGTGGCTTTGGAGCCTGTGCTGGCACTAGCTCTGTAGACCAGGCTGGTCTCGAACTCACAGAGATCCGCCTGCCTCTGCCTCCCGAGTGCTGGGATTAAAGGCGTGCGCCACCATCGCCCGGCTCTGGGTCTTCTTGATGCTTCAGCTTTGCATAGTTCTTCATTGCCACGAACACCTCGGGTCCCGCGCTACACCTCAGATCCTTTAAGACATTCCTCTTACTGTGCTCTTAAACCCATACACTTTTCCGGGCATATAAAGACATCTAACAAACATTTTAATGAGTAAATAATCTTATACTGGGCTAGATGTTTCTCCCTCCTACCTTTCCTTTGTTCCTTCCTTCTTCTCCCGCTTCCTTCTGCCAATCACTCATCTTTCTTCCATAGATAATCGCTTTCTCTCTTATTCATTACCCCAAATTCTTTTGGCTCTATTTCATGACCAACCCTTGTGAGAACCTGAACACGCCTTTCATCTAGATTGTCTCCAAGTGGCTCTGGGATGCCGTTCAGATCTAAGCTCAGATATCACCTTATTAGAGAAGTCCACTCTAAGGACCCTCCCCAAACCCTCCCTTGTCCTTCATCCCAGGCTCTCCATGCTCCAGTGACCTTGTTTTTGATTCTTTTTAAAGCAGTATCATTCACAACTTTCTGAGCATGTTTACTTGTTTGATTCTTATTTCTGTGCCTCCATCTGTGACCCCTGGTAGAGAGTAAACTCTGCCGGATCAGAGTCCTCGGTGATTTGCTTCCCATCGTATGCTAAGTTTCTACACCTATATACTCTGTTGCTTGCTTGATGCTTCATAAATACATACATGTTGGCTATTTAAGCTGGGTTGTGTTTCTCAAGTTCTTCTACCCACATTGAAACTTAGGCCCCACTGTTGGAGAATGGCTTAAAGTAGTGCTTTGCTGGTCTTTGTATATCTTCCCTATCTGTGTATGAATACTGTAGTAAGAAACACGCTGTATGTTATTTGTGGAAATTAGTGATTACAAACGATATTGATAATGGCTGCTGTATTGAGTAGTTACTATGTATCAAACACTGCTTTAAACCTTCATTTCATTATTTAATCCCCATTACAATCTAGGATGATTGCATCTCTCTAATTTCATGTTTTTGATGACAAAAGATCTGAAAGGGTAAATAACAAATAATTTCTAAGAGGGGGAAGAGGGTCTTAAGGTGAGGCAGTCTGACTCCAGGGCGTGCATTTGAGATAATACCAGGACAAGTAAATCTCTCAATAAATGACTCAATAAGTTTCACTAATCACAATCACCATTATTACAAGCTGTATGACGTTACAAATAGGTGTATTGTAAATCCTGTTATTTTGTCAAAGATGTCTGCTCTCAAATAGATTAATATCAGATTACAAAAAAGCAAGAGAAGATACATATTTATGTTTAGAAATTCTTCATAGCACAATTCTCTCATTGCATAGGGAGTTGATCATTAAATCTTAAGGATATAACATGTGTTGCATTACATTGGCAACTGGCATCTATTAAAAACAAGCTTCCAGTATGCCAGTTTGGCTTAGGCAATTCTGCAAAGGAGGTTCAATATCAGTGTTTAGGATTATTCGCCAACAAAAATATCTTGGCAAATTATGACACAGTCTTTAAGACTTGCTTTTGAATAGTTAAAATTTTACTGAAAAATCCTCAAATGTCAAGGAAATCCCATGGTTTTGGTTCTATACCTTGAAATTTGTACTACGGGCGTTTATATACTTATCAATATTTATTAAACTAAGAAACTTAAATAACAAGCACCATATTTTTGTTATTACTTTGTTCACGATCCTAAATGATAGAGCTGAAAAATCAGATAGGATCTGAAAAATCATCACTCATCCTTAACTTGTGCATATTTTAGCATTATGTTTACCATTCAGAGAATTTTTTGTGGAATTAACTCATGACATTGAGTGATTGAGTACCTATACATGTCAACTGTATATAGTTTATAGGAGACACAGTGACACTGTTCAGATTGGGTCAGGGAACTGTTCTTCCATTTTTTTACCATTTGAATTTGTTCAATTTAAAATTATTTTGCTAATTTATAGAATTAATTTTTTAAAACTAACTTTTGAGGGATAAATGCTTTAGTTAGTAGATTATTCTCATAAAAGTATTTATCTAGCATTTCTGTTTTTTGAGTCATTTTTGTAAGTTCTTGATTTATATTAGAGAGTAATATTCATTAATAAACCAGACCATATGTTCATGTAGAGCATTGAAAACATTATCTGATACACAGTAAATAATATGTAAGGATGAGACGTCCATATTATTCTCAGTTTAAACCTAGATTTTAATCACATTTTCTAAGAGATTTTCTTTGTTACAAACTTGAAAAACTTATTTTAATGTGTTAAGCACTAGCTAAGATGAATTCAGAGAGGAATATGGCTTTGATTGTGTGATATTTGCAAAGCAATATATAAGCTAGTGGGATGTTGGCACAAATTTAGAGAAACAGTACAATGGAAGATAAAAACAAATTCTGAAATAGATCCATACTTACGTGGAACTTGAAATATGACAGAGCTAGCACTGAAATTATAGACTACAGGAACAAATGAATTTCACATGAGAAAAGTACAAAAAAAAAGTTCCAGATGATTTAAAGACTGAAATATACAGGAAAACATTTAAAAAATAAATTCTAGGATGATAAGTAAAATTGATACAGAAATGAGTAAAGGGAGTAGATTATTAAATCTCTCTTAATCTAAAAAAACAACTGTTAATCTCAAAGTATTTTACATTTGTATGGATTTAAGTTTAATGATATAAATTTAACCCTTTTGTATGTTGTGAATATATTTTATTCCCATTGCTTAATAAAGTAGTTGATTTGGCCTATAGCAAGGCAGGATGGAGTCTGGTGGAAAAGCCAAACTGAAAATACAGGGAAGTAGAAGAGTAGAGTCTGGGAAGAATCCAGCAAGCCACAGGAGTAAGAAGATGTCTTAGAGTGCAGATAAAGCCAAGAGCCATATGGCAATACATAGATTAACAGAAATGGGTTAATTTAAGTTGTGAGAGCTAGTTACTAATAAGCCTGAACTAATAGAGCAAATAGTTTGTAATTAATATTAAGCTTCTCTGTGATTATTTTGGGACTGGGTGGTCAGAAAATTAAAGCACCACCTCCGTTTACTTAAAATTAACTGACACCACTTTACAATACAGAGAATGTAAACAACTAGTAAAGATTATCCAATTTAAACATCAAATTAGTAATTGAAACATATGTTGAATCTTGAAGCCACAAATTGGGAAAATACATTTCAATTCATGAAGCAGGCAAGATATTAGAGTCCAGAATAACAATAATCATGACAAAAACCCTGCTAAAAGCTTGACTGAGCAAGAATAGCATTAGGAAGAGTTCAGGAAACCTGAAGCTCATAAACTTCTGAGAAGACATTAGGCCTCATTAGGAACAGACAAGTCCAGTGGAAACCACAAGTAGAAGATATACCTCACACCCAACTACAGTAAATGAAATGTGTGGCAAGAAATTTATTGGCAAGATCATTAGAGTTCTCATACTTTTAGGTGCTGTGGGTAGGAATAAGAACACACAGAGCTACTTTGGAAAACACTTTGGGGTTATGTTGTGATGCCGTAGATGACTTCAGTAGATGGTCTTGAAGGAGGGCCTCACTGACTCCTTCGTTCTGGAATTTGCACATTATTTTTTTTTAATTATAGGGTTTTATGCTCCACTGGAAGCTAGCTTTGAATACACTATACATTCTAGGCTGGCCTCAAACTTGTAACAACCCTCTTGTTTTATTTAGTCTCCTATGTCCTGGGACTATATGCATGTACCACCAGAGTTGACAGGCGTTTATTCATTTGTGTCATTTCTTCTTCTTGAGTGTAACATGCATCTTTATATATATTATTGAATTATTTTGAAGCTAACTTAATTTTTTTCTTTATTAGATTTTTAAAATTAGTATATCAAGCATCAGCGTTCATTATGGCATTTTCATACCTTGCTTTCCTTTCATTAATCCTCTTCTCACATTCTTGTTTCCTAAATTCTTGACCTCCTACTCTTGTCCTCCTTCCTGTCTGATGGGAGCCGATTTGAGTGGTTGCCATTACAAGATGGCATTTGGCCCCGGCCTCGCTTGATACCATAATAAAGGTTGCAGTTCTTCCACTAGAAAACAGGATGAGTTGTTGTGATCTAGCTGCCCACACTTCCCCTGACCGGCAGGGGAACTTCCTTGTGGTCTGTAATTGACAGGGATGTTCCCCTGCTTTCTTTCCGGCAGGTGGGTCTCCAGAAAAGCAGTTAAAGTATCAAAGTATCAAAGGTTGCTAGGCAGACTCCCTATATAAGCAGCTGCAAATCAGAGCTCGGGGCCCCTTGCTTTCTGCTCTCCTTTTAACGAAAAGGCTCCAAAAAAGCGTGATTTGGGAAGAATCCTCGT